TTATTTTTGCATTAGGATTCCCTCCCGAAAGGAGTCAGTGGTTCCTTTAGTCAGCAGCCTGGGGGATTTTCCTTTGCTCAGTGAGATGCTTTCTCTCCCACTTTATCCTTCCTCCCCCTAGGCAGGAAGACTGTTGAGTTTCGTCACATCACGCAGGAATTCTCTCAGAGAGCTGGTAGAATGGTATCCAGACACTGGTTTTGTATTATCAGGAAAGGCCTTAGGAAATTCTCTGTGTTCTGCAGATGAGCACTCCCAGGGTCTGATGCCAGTACACATTTCCTCACCATGCCCTCCTGCAGGTCTTCCTTAGTGGACCTAGGGAAGACAAGGAGCAGATTAATGTTCTTTACATGAAATCACCATTTTATCACTTGGTAGCTGGGGAGAAAAACAGAGAATTCATCCTGGGTTCAAGGACTTTGCAAAGTCGCTATAGTTAGGAAAACTCCGGTCTGTACTGTATTTAAGGGAGATTTGTATGCTGCCTCATAATTGTCCTACTGCAGGTAGCTGCCACCTTTGGCATTCACAGACTGATGGGCTGAGGCATTTGAAAATGGGTACACATTAAAAAGGGGAGTATTTCCAAGTAAACTCTGCTCCTGACATTCTTTTGTTTAAAAACTTCCCCTGGTTCCCCATTGCCTGACATTTAAATTCTGTTATTACAGAAATGAATCAAAGCCTTCTTAAAGTAGGGAACACAAACCTGCTGCCTCAGGCTGAATTAGACTGGCAACATGTTTTGTCTGGCCCTATGGTGTTTTTAAAAAAATTTTGTATTAGTTACCAAGAGATTGAGGTCAAGGGATTTAATATGAAAATTAGGATTTCTGGCATCATTGGCCAACATTTCTTCATAGATCCGATAAAATGAGTCTCAGGCACATTCTTCACATAGGCCCTGAGCTATCTCTGCTTTGCAGTAGTCCTCCCTGTAGTGGACTCTCTTGGGGCTGCTTTCTTTCCTTGTTTTTTTTTTCTTTCGGTACTTGGGATCGAACTCAGGACCTTTTGAGGCGCCACTGAGCTAAATCCCTGGCCCCAGGGCTTTCTTAATAGGGCTGCCGTCCCACTCTGTAAATCTTATTTTCCATCCCAGGGCTTCTCTGCAGCTGTGGGGTGGGATTCATGAAGAAATTCCCAGCCTTTATGACAAGGTGGACACCTGCAAGTGAGGTATTCAGACGCTATCGGACAACTTTTTGAGTAATGAGAACCGAGAGAGCCAGTTAATGGATAAATACTCCTCACTTTTATGTCAGAGATGAAAGTGAGTGCTCAGGGAAAAGAGCCAAAGTTTCCCACAGTAGCAACCAGATTCATATTCTCCCTTGACTGGCTTCCTTTCTTTGTCTTCTTTACTCTCACCCTTGGAAACACCTTCTAAAGTGAATTTCCTGTGCTAAAACCCTGGTTTAGGCTCTGCTGGTTGGTGGGAAGCTAGACTAAAATCCCTTCCTTTCCCTGTTTTCTCAACCAACTTATATAATTCATGCAGCTTATTACCTTCATGGACCTGAAGCAAGACCCTGTCTTAGAGACTCACCTCTAGGAACTCATCCCAGGTACTCCACACCATTCCTACTCCAGCAAATCGTCAACTTCTCCTCCAGTATGAGAGCTATTTGCTGGTGCCATTGTTTGAAACCCTGGTACCCTAAGTTCCCCACCCACCCTATTCCTTGTTAGCTCTCTTTCCATGAAGCAAATTCCTCCTCAGCCTTCAAGGCCAGCCTTAGTTTACCCTATTCCTCCATCATTAAAGGCAAAGGAGAGGGAGTAGGAGAGAGGGAGAGATTGCAGGTGGAGGAAGACACAGATGAGGCAGCTTTTCTTGGATCTGACAGACATGACTTCTTCGGGTGTAGGTGTGGAGTTTTACCTCAAAAAGGAGAAAAAGCCTTCGTTCTCTGGGGATGGGAATAAAGATCGCAACCACTGACCTACTTGTATACCTATTATGTGCCAGGAACTGTTCTGAGTGCTTTTAAAATATTAAGTCAATGCTGGCCTTTCTTCCTTACAAGGACCCTATGAAGTACATATGAAGTGTGATCAAAACCCATGGTGCACGTTTAAAGAAAATTTATCACAGTTTCAGACATGTTGCATTAATTTCCCTCAAAATACTCCCCCACACTTCAGACACATTTGGCCCATCATTCTTGACACTTTCTGAAGCAATTCTGAAAGACTTCTTTTGTGAGTGTCTTTAGTTGTGCTGTCATGGCAGCCTTGATGTCCTAATTGATTCATAGTGAATTTATCTTTAATTTATCTTTCTGTCTTTCATTTTGACTTTTGGAAAGAGCCAGAAGTCACAGGGTGCTGGATCCAGTGAATAAGGTGGGTGAAGACACACTGTAATGTTTTTATGAGTCTGCCTTTCTCTTGGATGGTACTCAGCAGAATTCAACCCCCTTTTTTTTTGTATGGGGGATCGAACTTGGGACCTTTTGCTTGTGAAGCAGGCAGTGAAACCACTGAGCTAAATCCGGGCCCCATTCACCCCTTTTTGATCAAAGCTCATAAAGCCACTCATAAAAGTGGACTTCCAGATCTGCTTCAGGAAGTGCTGAGAAGGATGGGATAAGTGTGCTCAGAGAGAGGGGGAGTGGTGGGACTCCAGTAGTGGAAGGTGGACTAGTGGCAATGTGTCTGGCATGCACCTTGGGACCTTAATGTGAAGTGAAATAAATCAATCACACAACCTTAAATATTCCACAGTTTCTTTTCTATGAGAGACCCAAAGTATAAATAAAGAGCAAAATAGAAGATAGATAAGAAGTAGGAAAGCCAGGTGTGGTGGTTCATGCCTATAATCCTAGCACTTGAGAAGCTGAGGCAGGAGGATCACTGAGAGTTTGAGGCCAGCCTGGACTACAAAGCAAGACCCTGTCTCAAAAAACCAAACCAAACCAAACCAAAACAAAAGAGTAGGGAGATAGATCTTTTTCAAAGGGAAAGGGGATCAAGAGATGGAGGGAGGAGGGAGGGCACAGAGGAGAGGGGTATGAAAAGAGGAATTAAAATGTGTTACGTAGGGCCAGGGATTTAGCTCAGTGGTTTTGCCACCTGCTGTGCAAGCGCAAGGACCCAAATTTGATCCCTGGTACCAAAACAAACAAACAAACAAACAAACAAACAAACAAAAAACATGTTACGCATGTGGACCAACTCCTCAAAAGGAGTGTAAACATTAATGTATTGCAAACACGTATTAATGAAGAAAATGATCTGAAAAAGTTTAAACATTCGTGATACATTTTGAGCACCTCTTGTATTATTATCATCGTGTTAAACGGGTTAGAAAAGTGAAGGATAAAGAGGTCAGGGAACATGCCCAAGATCACACAGCTTGTAGGTGGTCAGGCAAGGAGTAGTCTGTCTTAGAGTTCACGCTCCTGACCGCTATGCCTTACTGCTTATTTCTTTTTATTAGTACATGTGTGCAGTGCATAATGATTACATTCCTCACAGACAGTTGGTCTGTGTACATCACACATTTTAATTCTTTTTTCATCTCCTTCTCCTCCCCTCCCACCTCCTTCCTCCATCTCCTGGCCCTTACTATGCCTTACTATTTCTTAAGGGAAATGAATACAGAAAATACAGCCAGGCATATGCCTATAGTCCTAGCTCCTCAAGAGGCTGAGGCAGGAGGATCACTGGAGCCTAGGAATTCAGAGCCAGCCTGGGAAATGGGAAATATAGCAAGACCTGTCTTAAAAAAAAA